CTTCTTGTATCTCAAAGATTATTCTTCTTGCTTCCTTGCGTCTTCCGTAAAGGTTGCTCATTAACATGGCCATTTGACTTTCGAAACTCCTGCACGACATAATTCAACCGATGTCATTTCGAATTATTCGCGACGTCCCTCGCTTCTGATTTCTATAACAAAACTCTTATATTTACAGATGGATCTAATACGAAGGAAGGTGTTTATTGTGGAGTATTTTTCCAAAATACAAACCAATCGTTGATATATAAATTACTACCTTTTTGTAGCATTTATACTTCCGAGCTTTTTGCAATTATAAAAGGTTTTACCTGGTTAACATCCAATAACATACACTTCTTCGTCTTCTTCTTGGTGCGACTAGGATTACTCCTGTTTGTCTGCCTCTTATTCTGTTTCAGTCGTTGTTGACTGTACATTATCTTTCCACCTTTTTGGCGGCCTTCCCACGGGTCTTTTGCTATACGGTTTGTTGTTTTTATAGATGTTCGCTATTCTATCTGGTCCCATTCGATTTACATGTTCGTTCCAAATTTGTTTCTTTTTTTTATCCACCTGTTAATATTTTGAAGTTTCATTGTTCGCATTAATTGTTCTGTTAGTTTGTCTCTCTCTTAATGATATGCCCGCTATTGATCTTAATACTTTCATTTCGATATTGTTGATTTCTTGTTTCGTCTTTCTTGTATCGGTCCTTGTCTCCGCTGCATATGTTAGGATTGACCTTACTGTTGTCTGGTATACTTTTATTTTGCTTTCCGTGGTCAGATATTTGTTTCTCCATATGGTTTCTCGGAGGCAACCACCTACTCTTGCTGCTTTTGATGCTTGCCTTGTGATCTCTGTTATTATATCCCTATCACTAGTAATCTCTACTTCTAGGTAATTGAATTTCATTACTTGTCCTACAATTTTTCCATCTATTTCTAGTTTGCATCTGCGCAACTCTTTACTGATCACTATACATTTAGTTTTTTTTACTAATATTCTCATATTGTTTGTTTGCTGTGATATTGAAGGTGTGGAGCTGCCTTTGTAGGTCATCTTCGTTATCAGCAATTAGTACTGCAGCATGGGCATAGCATAGTATCGTGATTTTTGCGCTCCCATGTGGTATTCGTGTCGTTTTCTTATTTCGTGAATTATTATAACACACACGAAGAAGCAATATTAACAGATTCTAAATCTGCATTAGACTCTATAAAAAATACAAAATTTGAAGGAATGATGTCCCATGTTATGTTGTTTAAAAAACATGATTGCAAATCGACATAGATAATCGATCCTCTTCTACTGTTAGGTGTCAAGGTTATTGCAAATTTAAATATAACATTTATTTGGGTGAGAGGCCATGTAGGTATACCAGGGAATGAAATAGCTGATACTATAGTTTAGTTAAGAAAGCAGCAAAATTGAGTCTTTTGGAATATTTGTAACAGTACAGTAATCGATAGATTTAACTCAATAAAAAATAAAATAAGGCTAAAATGACAACAATAATGGGAGAATATTGTTGAAAACATAAACACTTAACATAAGCAAAACAAAAATAATGCTAATATCTAAATCACCACAAAACTTCCCTGACATAACCGTGCATGATCAAAAAATCGAACGTGTAAGAAGATATAATTACCTGGGAACTGTTATCAACGAAAATAATGACTGCTCTGAAGAAATCAGAACCAGAATAGAGAAAGCTAGAGCCACATTTACTAAATTGAAAAAGGTGTTCTGCGGAAGAGATCTAAGTCTAAAACTTAAAATTCGCCTTTTGAGATGTTACGTTATGTCAGTTCTCCTCTACGGGATGGAAACATGGACATTGAAAAAGATCGATACCAAAAAGATAGAAGCATTTGAGTTGTGGATGTATCGTAGAATATTAAAAATACCCTGGACAGAAAAAGTAACAAATGTGGAGGTTTTGCGGAGAGTGCGGAAAGAGAAAGAGCTGATACTTACTGTTAAAAAGCGCAAACTACAATATTTGGGACATGTTATGAGGGGAGATAAATACCAGTTGCTGCAATTGATTATACAGGGAAAGATAATGGGAAAGAGATCTATAGGAAGAAGAAGGCATTCATGGTTGAAAAACTTGAGAGAATGGTACAATTGCACCAATTACCAACTGTTTAGATCTGCAGCATCAAAAATACGCATAGCTTTGATGATAGCCAAACTTCGGAACGAAGACGGCACTTGAAGAAGAAGATTGTTGAAAACTCGCAAAATAAGTATTTCCAGATAAAACCGCACTTTACCACTCCCATCCCAAATACATATTCAATTACTCGACTACCAGATTCTTCTCCGTGAGTGTATGTTGCCTAAATACGAATCATGATCGATTCCCGTCGCATTTATTGACATATTACCGACACCATGCTGCAGTTGTGATATAAGTTATTAAGGAGATCTGAACCATATTTTCTTTGGCTGCAACAAATATTTGGAAAAAGCTAATAAATTAATTCACACTCTTATTGAAATGAAATATTTGCTTCCGTTAAGTCTATCACACATTTTGTCAACTGCTAATAGAGAAACCTTAGAATTGCGAATAAATTTTATTAAATATGTAAAAGTAGAAATATAAATTAGTATAACTTCGATGACTTATAAATATATCTAAAAATAAAAACAAACAAGAATAAAAAAAATATCATGAATGTGTTGCTTGTGTGAGTTCATTTTCAAATAGGTAAAGAAATAATAAATAAGACTTACTCACAATCAATTTAATTTAACTATTCAGACGACCGGTTTCGCTTTCTACAATATGCAAAGCATCCTCAGGTCTCGATACAAGTTAAACAAATGCTGAAATAATAAAAAACCCATATTAGGGTGTTGTCTAATAAAGATAAACAAATTAGATGTTATAAATTACAATAATTATGCCAATATTACATGTCTGTGGTTTATTTTAAAATAAATAAAAATTAATGAAAAGGTATAAAAAGTTTAAACAGACAAGGTAAGACTATTATTAGATTATATTAATAGACTATTTTATAACAATTTGTAGTCCTTTGGATTATTTAAGAAAAGGTAAACCTAATCAATAATCACAGTTCTCTTCAGACACACACGTAGCGTTATCGGTAGGTTACACTTTTTCCTTTCATTTGAATATTCCGCGCATTCGAGTAAGATATGTTATACACTTAAACACTTGTCGCATATTGGAACACTTTCAATAATATGGTATTCATGTGTTAGGCGTGTATGTTGTAATCTTAGTCTTTTTATTATAATTTGGTCTTTCCTGTTGCTATAACTTATTCTACCATCTTGTAACTGTTGTTTCTATGTCTCCTAGTTTTTGTTCAGTTGGATTCCATTTTTGAAGCCATGGTTCATTTTATGTCAAGTTAATCCAGTGATTCCAGAGTAAATATTTCTTGTATGTAGTTTCTGTTAAGTCTCCGTTGTTAACTGAAGATTTGGCAGCAGTATCTACTCTTTAATTACCATGTTTAGCTATATGCAATAGAATCCGCATCAATTTTACCATGGAATTCTTTTGCTGTAGTTGATACAAGTGGATCTTTATGAATCGCAACAAAGAATGAGTTGGGTAAGAAGTGTCCAAGCTACTTATAGAACTTAAGAGTTCTGCCATTAGTTGACATGTCTAACTTAGCGTTCAGGGCATATAACCGTACCTAAATTTGAGATTTTGTATAAAGCAGTATAGTTATTGTGTATAAAGGCACATCGCACTCCTTCTTCGAGGCATCAGTATATATAGACTGAGATATTGTCTTCTTAATCCAGAGGAATTTCTCCTGCTAACCATAATAGCCTACCTATGGGTGTGGTACAAAAAACTTCCAAAGGCTATCCTTACAGCAGCGTTTTGGATTGTTTGCAATTTTTTTAATATTGATTAATTGGTAGACCCATACATTATTGAGCCATAATCGACCTTCGATCTAATGAGGCTTTTATATACTATCAATAGAATATCTTGATCACATCCCCAATTTTTAGTAGATAGGACTTTCATTATATTCAAATATTGTTGGCAAGATTTTTTAAGACATATAATTATATATATATATATATATAATATATAAATATATATATATATATATATGTTGCTTAAAATTTAAATTTTTTTCAAAATTAATTCCAAGGAATTTGATACAATCTAATTTTTATTGAACATTGTAAGTTCAGGACTAGTAACATTACGTTTTCTGGTGGAATGAATACTTTTACTTTTATTGGAACAAAATTTCATATCAGATTTCATTGGCCATTTTTCTAATGCAGAAATAGTATAAGGTTTGTTTAATTAGTCTGTTTTTTTTTTAATTATGAGGTAATCTGCGTAGAGTCTTTACTGGTGGAGAATCATTTTCCATAATACTATTAATAGCAATAACAAAAGAGTAAAACTAATCGATGATCCGTGATGGGTACTATTTTCCTGAATTCTAGTTTTAGAAATGAAATCGTCTACTTTTACTTGGAAACTTTGGTTTTTTTTTTAAATTGGTGATGAAGTTTAGAATATTTCCTTGCATACCTAATTTCTGTAAAGTTTTAATTATCCTATGGCGCCAAATGGTATCAAATGCTCTGATTATCTAAAGTAAAACCGCTAGGCAGGGTTGATTACTTGCTAAGGCTACATGTATTTCGAACTCGAGGTCAACTAAGTTGTCTAGAGTTGATCTATCTTTACGAAATCCAGTTATCCACAAATATCCTCATAACTTTCTTCGCCGATTTTGGCATTGTAGTCGACCATAATGACTGCGATTCTACGTTCTTTTATTAATTTTAATACATCTTGTGGTGGCTTCGAAAATGCTTCGATTTCTTCCTCATATTTTTCAGCCGTGGGGGAGATTAAAGTTAGTCACAATAATTTGTATTTTTGTATGACAGCTGCTGATCTTGCCTTGTAAATTTGCGATCTTATTTTAGTCAAAATCCATTAAGTATATATAAAGCATTAAATTTTATTTTCTATTTTCAAGGTGATTTCAAGGAACGAAACCGACTGGATATTCAGGGAACCGACAATAGACATATTTGCGGATATCGACAGGTTCACCACGAATCCAGAACGAGTACCAAAAAGACAGAGGCGAGTATTCGAAGGAGACTTTCACATGGAGTTCTGCGACAACGTAGGGCAGTTGGTCCAAGCTTATTTCAGAGATTTCACGTTCGAAAAGTATGTATATAAATGTTTAATTATCATATTTGATTCACGAGCTACAAATTTATTACTTCGTCAAATAATTTTACTTCATATACTACTATGGATGGAAAACTTTTTGCCACTGTTTCGGAAAGTTTTGTTTGTACTCTAAGTTAACAATTTCCTCAACCATCTTTTTAATGTATCTTTATTTTTATAATATCGTTAGTTTTTGTTTCTTCAGCCTTGAGTTTTTCAGCGAACGTAACCTATATTCTTCACTTTCTGGAAGTACATTTATTTTATCTTTTAGCACAAACGTTTCCTTTTTGCGACATACATTTTTCTAAAGTTTAAAGAACTTTTCAAATGTAGAGAGGACTTTAAACTAATAAAGTATCTGAAAGACTTTTTTTTCCATATTAATATGTACTTAAACTATGTAAATTAGGTAATTTGACTCCTTAGGTAAATAATATATTAAAATATATATCTTGTCTATTTTCAGACTCGATCAACCTTGGAAAGCCTTCACCTCCTCTTGGACGACCGAAACCATCGGGAGGAACCTTGGGATCAACGGATCCTTTATAGCCAAAGAACATTGTTACGTGTTAGTGCGGTTATCTCGCTTTCGCGATGTCGTTAAGCTCCAAAGGCTACCGAATAACGTGTTCGTGCTGGAGGAAGCGGCCAAAGAAATAGACAACATTAAAATTGGTGATGTCAATAGTGTACTCACGTTCATCAAGAAGTATGGATCTCATTACATTAACTCTTACGTTACGGGGAATTCCTTATATCAAGTAAGATTTTTTTATATTGTCAATAATATTCAAAACCGAATATGTATAATTTTCTTTTTTTATAAATTTCAAATAGCTATACCAAAGTAGATGAACATAAAAGTTTAGGTCGTAACACCATAAGAATATGTGATACAAAAAACACACAAGTTAGATAATCAAACTGCTTTTACTGTAGGGTTCATTATATTTGGAGTTTATATGCCGTGGTCTAAGACTAAAACTTTTATTTTCTTCCTGACGTTGTTTCGTTTAAAACTGCAGCATATATCAATGGCGATATGAAAGCAATGTTCGTCTAATCTATTGTTTCTATTACTGATGATCTTTCTTAAGTACATTTGCTAATTTTAGCTGTCGATGTCGAATATGTCGATTGATCCTAATAGATTTTTGAATTAACGGTCTATCTGACAAGTATTTTGTATTTTAAAGTGTTAGATAAGTTAGGATGTAATAGGATATGTCTCTTATAAGTATTAGAGACACATCCTCTTTTTGATTCGAACGCCCTTCTTTGCTATTAAATTTAATATTCTGTTTATTCCAATAGCCCCTCTGTAGCATATATCTTTCTTCGAATACAGCTTGAATATTTTCTTGTGTGATGGTATGCTCTACAACGGCTGATTTTTTGCAGTGACTAAGACGACAATTCCTTTTGTGTATACTACGTTTTGTGGTTCCAGTGTACCCTGAACCACAGAAACTATGACGAATTCCTAGAGTGAATAATGGGTCAATGGTTTTTTTGGCTGATCATAGACTTCCTTATATGTAGATTTTGGGTTGCTTATTATTTTCATACCAAAAACTCTACGATAGGGAATCGTTTCGCTCGTTTTGTATTGTTAAATCATAATTAGTATTGCTCATTTTGTAATTTCCCATCATTAAGTTAATTTACTTTTCACTTAGTAAAAAGTATTCACTTAATTATTTTTAATCCAGTGCTGTATCTGTGAAAAACTGTAAAGAATTTATCTATTTGTCAGTATCTCTCAAAAACTGCACATAAGTTGTCTATGTATTGCTAATTTGCACAATAATCACTATTGAGTTTCACACTTTGATGAAAGTAATATTCCATCATTTTTACTTTTGCTTTTGAATACTATTTTTATATAATTTTCCCAAAAAAATATACTAAAAATATAGTTGACAATATGACAAATTAATGGCGTAATCTGGACAGTTCGAGTATTCACGTTAACTTTCCTATCAATTTGTACACTATTGCAGGGTTCACTAGCTTCCACAAAAGCACAAATATCAATAACCGTTTTGACGCTCCTCATCGACAGGTCTAACACGTGTTTCATTACCTTCATGACACTTTTTACAATTGTTTACACATCCCGAAGTCTGAAAATGTTTAATGGTATTTTTAACTGTTGTAACACTTGATGGGGTCTATTTTTGAAGGCAACAATAAATAAATCAATTACTTCGCGTATCTAATGACCCTGAAAGTACCACGTTATAAGTTGCACTTTTTCTTGGACGGTATACAATAGGCATTTTATTAATTATTTGTTTATTATTTCAGAACTTCGTTTGAAATTTTTATTGTCAATGTGACAATTACGACAATTCGTACCTACTGTGAAATGAATATAGAGGTGGAAACGTGTACCATGTCACAGTGATTGCCATTGTGTTGTACGTTCAATAAAACAATGTCGTAATCTGTATTATAAATATATACCATTATATACCAGAAGTTCTTATTTCTATGTAAGTTTAGTATCTACTATGTCTCATTCAATGAGAAAAATATGAAGCTGTTCGCTTTTAAATGATTTCGATTGACGCACGTTCTCTGCCCATTCGGCGCAAAACTTTTAGTTGGTAATTTGGACGGTGCCAAAGATTCAAAACATTCGTCGGTATACGTACATTTCAAGTACCTCGAGTCCATTCAGACATACAGAGTTGTGGAATATATGTAGCACTTTACAAAGTTATATCTTTCTAAAAATCTGAGATTTCTAATTTAGGATTAACAATGCTCATTATCGAGCTTCCCAGTTACTTAAACTTGGAGATTTAGTTATTTCTGCTCTTTATATAGAATAGAGTTTTCGTTTACTGCTTGATTTGTATTCCGATTTACCATCAATATGGTATATATATATATATATATATATATATAGAGTAACTATAATCTATATATATATATATATAGAGTAACTAATAATCTATATATATATATATATATATATATATATATATATATATATATATATATATATATATATAATCCGCAACCTCAATCAAGTAAGACTTAAACAACAAACAGCTATTGAATGTATTTTTTTTACTTTATTATTTTTATTTTTACCATGTTTTGAATAATTGTAGCATTCATCTGATGATGCCAATGAAAATTGGCGAAATATAATGAACTGTTAAACAAAGTGCACTTGGCTTTTAATCAGCTGTATACCCAATTAACCTCAACTCAATTTATATATATATATATATATATATATATATATATTATATATATATATATATATATAACCTTTGCTTTTTCAGTGTTAATATTTAAGCCCAAGCGATCTAATTCAGCTCATAAACGCGAACTGTCTGAAATTTTAAATGAGCAATCGACAAATTTGAAATTATTGATTAATATTTCATTTACTTTTATGCCATCTTCTGTGCCTTGTTACAGAAGTTATAAAGTTACAGTACATGTTAAAAAATATATAGCAGAAGTTTTGTCGTCCAGAAACTATACTGCGACAATTGCGACAACTAAGAATTTGATATATATATATATATATATATATATTATATATATATATATATATATATATATATATATATATATATATATATATATACCATGGCGATCAGATAAGTACTTAGCCTACAAAAGAAAACCAAATTTTTGGAAAAGTGGCGATTTATTTCTGAACGTAGTCTACTTTTAGCTCGATACGCTTAACCCATCGATGCTTTAATTTCTTTTTTTTAACCCGTCTGAAAAATACGTTTTCTCGAAGTCTGCAACTCCCAGGTTCCAGCTCTGTGGTGGTCTTCATCGTTTCCTCTTCTCTGGGGGTTGCCATATCATCGTTTTTTTTAGGCAATCTTTCGTCCCCCATTCGGCTCACATGCCCATACCATATGAGCTGTTTTCTCTCAATATCCTCAACTATAGTGCCCTCTATACCCATTTGTTGTTTTATCACTTCATTCCGCATTCTGTCGGCTCTTGATATTCTCATCGATCTTCTGATGGCATCCATTTCCGTGGCTTCGACCTTTTTCTTATATTTCTCGGTTATTCTCCATGTCTCAGCTCCATAAAGTAGGCTAGTTTTAACCATTGTCTCATAGATGTTCCATTTTCTTTTCTTTGATATTTCTTTACTCCATAGAACTCCGTTCAAACATGCTATAGCTCTTCGTGCTTGTACAATTCGATGTTCTATTTCTCGTTCGTCTTTTCCACTACGGTCGAAGATGACGCCCAGGTATTTATCTTCGTTGCATGGATTTATTTAAGTTTGTAAACAAAAAGAAGTCGCACGGGCATAAATCTGGAGCATATAGTGGATGGGACAACAGTTCGTAGCCCAATTCGACCAATTTTACCATAGTCGATTTGGCGACGGCCGAGATATGCACCGGTGCGTTTTATGATGGAAGAGCACTTTTTCTTCGCCAAATGGGGTCTTTTTTTGCAATTCGGCGTCGAATCGACGGCCCAATAATTCTGCGTAGTAGAACTCTGTGACAGTTTTCCCCTTCTCCAGGTATTCGAGGTAGATTACCCCTTATAAATCTCAGAAAATGGTGAATATCACCTTTTCGGTCGATAGGTCAGTCTTCTTCAAAGCACGTCCGCCGGCTGCTGTCCACTGTTTCGACTGTTTCTTGGTCTCTGGTGTATACCAATGGAACCATGTTCCGTCGACGGTTAAGAAATGATGTAGAAACTCCTTCGAATTACGCTTAAATAGCGCTAAGCACTGCTCTGAAGTAGTCTCACGGTTACGCCTGTTGTCCGGAGTGAGCAAACGCGGCACCCATCGCGCCCACAGCTTTCTCATGCCAAAAATTTCAGGCAGTATATGACCATATGCCATATTTTAAGATGCCTACCATTTCCGGTATCTCGCACACCTTCAGGCGGCGGTCTACCGATATGAGATCGTGAGCTTTTGTCACGTTATCCTCCATAGTAGCCATTTTCGCAACATCACAGCGTAGCTCATCAAAAACCGACGTACGACCAGGTTGAAACTCGTTAAACCAATTTTTGACGGTTGCCATCGAATAAGAAACGTTACCGTCCACAACATCCAAGCGCTCTTTGATTTCGATTTTCTCTTCCAAAAACAAGAATTGACTCACCGACCAAGATTGTTCTTTTTCCATTTTTCTAAAATCCACGGACACGCCCACTTTCACACGAGCTCAAAACAAAACAACGAGTCTGATTCGGCTGAAATTGTAACATTAACCGTCTACAAAAATGTAGCACACGATAATAAAGTTCTCTGGAGATAGTGGCGCCATCGGGCGGTGAGGCTAATTACTTATTGGATTGGACCGCACGTATTACTGCGGTTTTGTGATTGAAAATTATAATCAACCCCTACATATTTGTAATTGTATAGGTCAGTGATTCTCAACCTGTGGGGCGTGTCCCTCTAGGGGGCGCGCTATTACTAATGGGCGGGGGGCGTGAGGATATCCGAAAAAAACATCAACTTTTTACGCCATCATATGTTTTAAGTCGATTTCATACATTTTTTCCAACGTAACAGTGTCTTCATATGTGTCATATTATGCTAAGATTAAGAAGAGTCACAAAAAGGGTCTCAAGGTGACAACACACAAGATACGAGAACGAGAATCGGTGATCCAGCAGTGCGAGGCGAAACATAATATTATATACATTAGCGGGACGGACGCCAACCGTCATATATTCATGTACTTATATTTGTGTTAAATTCAAAATTAAGTCTTTCACATCGAGT